CCCAACCCCAGACCCCAACCCCAACTTCTGCCTCGGCCACAACCCCAATTTGTGCCCCAATCCCAACCCCAAAGTCTACCCTGACTCCTACCCATCAAGCCCAAGTGCCAAGTTGACTCCAAAGCTGGACCCCAACCCTGTCTCCAGACCCCTATTCCAAAACAGAAACCTAATCTTGGCCTCCATCCATCACCCTAATYCTAGATCCAGAAGTAGCTCCCACTCCAGATCTCCAACCTTACCCCAACTCCAGATCCCAACCCTGACCCCAATCCCAGACCTAATCCCAAGCCTGACCCCAACTCTAGACCCCAACCCTGATGCCCACCCCAGACCCCATCCCCAAATCCAGATCCCAACCTTGATCCCAGCCCAGCCCCAGATCTTCCCAGACCGATCCCAACCCCAACCCCATCCCTGCCCCCCAGCCCATGGACCCCTCGCCATGGACACATCCATCCCTACCACTTCCCACTGCTCCCGGGTGCTCCCCATCCTGAGCGCATGGGCAAGGGGCGCCCCATGGAGACCCCCCAGTATGCCCGGGTGCCACGGGGCGCCCACGCCGGCTCCGTGCGCCCCAGTGCTCCGGATTACYGGATTGCTTCCCGGAGGGTCTGGCTGCCACCAAGGTCCCCGCGCAGCCGGGTGGCCTTGCGCCCAGCCGGCCCCGCGAGCCAACCCGCTCCCGGCGAGCTAATTATAGGCCCGTGCTAATTTAATCGGAGCGTAATTATGGCGGAGCGCGCTGTATGGCAAGTTTCAATAATTAATGCCATCGAGCGGCTGTAATTAAAGGAGAGCCCCGGCGAGGCGCTGCCAGGCTGCCGATGGCAGCGGGGGTCCCTGCGGGTCCTTGAGCTCAGCCCCCGCTTGTCCCTAGTTGACTTGGGGTGTCCCATGATGGGTCACGGACCCACGATGGGTTATGGAGCCGTGATGGGTCCTGGGAGGGCTCGGTGGTGGCCTCTGATGGTCCCTAGGGGTCCCTGGAGGTGCCAGGATGGGATTCTGGAGGTCCCTGGGGTTGTCCCATGGTGGTCCTTCTGCACACCTTCTGATGTCCTTCTGGTGGTCCTGAAAGGGGGTCTCTGGGGTCATAGCCCCAGGATCTCCAGAGCAGTCCCAAGGGTCCCCTGAGATCCCCTGAGGATCTCCAGGTTGAGGGACCCCAAGTCCTTGAGGGCCTTTGGGTGGCCTGGGAGACCCTGGAGGTGCCTGAGGGTCCCTGGGGCCACCCGGTCCCCAGTGTCCCATGCAGTCTGGGCAATGACAGGCCACGAGGGGACCCACTCATGGTACCCGAGGAAACATCTCCTGCTGCCCCTGCACAGCTGGACAGGACATGGCCAGCCCGAAGAGCAACGCCCCATGTCACCACGTCAACAAAAGAGCAGGACCCGTGTCACCCAAAGAGCAGGACCCGTGTCACCCAAAGAGCAGGACCCTGTGTCACCCAAAGAGTGGCACCCTGTGCCAGGCTGGTTGGGGTGCAACAACCATGCAGGAGGGTTGCAAGGCTCCACAAGTGGGTGCGCAGTGGCATGCAGGGCTGTGTGCAATGGCAGTGCAAGAGAGCATGCGATGGATGCACAGGAGCATGTGCAACGGCCACACAGGCGGGTGTGCAATGAGTGTGCAAGGAGGGTGCAATGGGCTGCCAGTGGGCATGCAGTGCTGGGCACATGGGTGGGTGATTGCAGTGCGGGAGGTGTGTGCTCGTGCAGATGGGTGTGCAACGCCATGCAGGTGGGTGTGCAACACCATACAAGTCAGTGTGCAATGGCCATGCAGGCAGTGCAAAACTCGTGCAGGTGGGTGTGCAATACTGTGCAGGTGGGCGTGCAATGCAGTGCAGGTGGGTGTGCAATGCTGTGCAGGTGGGTGTGCAATACTGTGCAGGTGGGTGTGCAATGCTGTGCAGGTTGGTGTGCAATGCCATGCAGGTGGGTGTGCAATACTGTGCAGGTGGGTGTGCAATGCAGTGCAGGTGGGTGTGCAATACTGTGCAGGTTGGTGTGCAATGCCATGCAGGTGGGTGTGCAATACTGTGCAGGTGGGCGTGCAATGCAGTGCAGGTGAGTGTGCCATGCTGTGCAGGTGGGTGTGCAATGCCGTGCAGGTGGGTGTGCAATGCTGTGCAGGTGAGTGTGCAATGCCGTGCAGGTTGGTGTGCAATGTTGTGTAGGTGGGTGTGCAATGCCGTGCAGGTGGGTATGCAATACTGTGCAGGTGGGTGTGCAATACCGTGCAGGTGAGCGTGCAATGCCGTGCAGGTTGGTGTGTAATGTTGTGCAGGTTGGTGTGCAATGCTGTGCAGGTTGGTGTGCAATGCCGTGCAGGTGGATGTGCAATGCTGAGCAGGTGGATGTGCAATGCCGTGCAGGTGGATGTGCAATGCTCATGCAGGCAGGCATGCAATGCCATGCAGGTGGGTGTGCAATGCCACACAGCTGAGTGTGTGATGCTCATGCAGGTCGGTGTGCGATGTTATGCAGGTGGGCGTGCAATGCAGTGCAGGTGGGTGTGCAATGCTGTGCAGGTTGGTGTGCAATGCCATGCAGGTGGATGTGCAACGCCATGCAGGTGGGTGTGCAACACCATACAAGTCAGTGTGCAATGGCCATGCAGGCAGTGCAAAACTCGTGCAGGTGGGTGTGCAATGCAGTGCAGGTGAGTGTGCAATGCTGTGCAGGTGGGTGTGCAATGCAGTGCAGGTTGGTGTGCAATGCCGTGCAGGTGGGTGTGCAATACTGTGCAGGTGGGCGTGCAATGCAGTGCAGGTGGGC